AAATCCTTTACACAAAGGACAATTTCGACCAACATTACTCTCGTTACCCAAGAACACCAGCTGATTTTCCCTTCCAAAGAATGCTGCCAGCATCTACTCAAAAAATTCTCCCCCTATTCACAAACCATTCACAATACCCAATAACACCACAAACTCATCTCTCGCTGTCCCGAGATACAAATCTCACACTCTCTCAGACATTCTCACATAACTTGCCAATACCACACAACTCTCGAAACCAACATACCAACCACCTACACCCACGGATTCCCCGTACTCAAGGAATAATTTTCAAACTGCACAAGGCCCACAGGCCGTTCACATAACCATCTTGTGATCCAATACCAAACATATAATAGCACTAGGATCATTGATCCCATTAACAACTTCTCAATATATATATAAGAGAGAGTTCGAAATTTCATGCATGCTCCCAATACAAGGGAATTAAACAGACAACAATATACATACATATGTAATACATCATCATGATGCCTCAGCATCCAACAGTACACCGGTCAACAACAAAAAGACACACACAATACATTACCGGCCAACAATACAAAAGTTCCCCTCCAGGGTAATAATATAGGGCTAGCTAATAAGTCGCCCCTCGCGAGGCTCTCGAAGCCGGGCCTGCACGTTTCTGGTACCGATAACGTCCCTGACTGGATAGGTACGACTGAGTCTGACTCAGTTTTGAAACACCCGAAGAATTCACACGCAAAGGGCATAAATGCTTAACATGGCCCAGCTGACCACAACCAAAACAACCAACAAGCCCGCTACCCTGAGACTGGCCTGAAACCTGAACCTCACTAGGCCTCCCAACTGAAGAGTCTGAAACTCCTGATGAAGAAAAAGTTTAGCCAGGGACTGAGCAAGTTTTCACCTCCACCTCTTACTAGGTCTAGAGTACTCACGAACCGTAGGAGTTACCGAGATAGCCTCCTCCCTATCCTGACCGGCACTCACAACCATGGCCTCCACATGGGCTGCTGCCTCAACTAAACTATAATAATTCTTCGAAAAGGATCCAGCTACCTTCTCTCGAATATCGAAACACAGCCGGCTTTCGAACTCATAACAACGACGCTCCTCTGTTGCCACCAACTCTAGAGCAAACCTCGACAAAATGGTAAACCGCATCTCAAACTATGCCACAGGAGTATCATCCTGACGCAACTCAATAAACTGTTCCCTCAACCTTTCTTGAGCAGAAGGAGGGAGATACTTGGCCCAAAAGGCCTTGGTAAAAGCAACCCACGCGCTACCCACAATATTCTTAGCATACTTCCACCAATAACTTGCTTCTCCCTTCAACTGAAAAGTCGCCAAAGAGACCCTCAACTTCTCATCCTCGACTCTGAGCATATCAAGAGTCTTGGTAATCTGTTCTAACCAACTCTCTGCCTCCAACGGTTTGGTCCCCTCCCACAAACTCTGGTGGGCCAGAGCGGAAAAACTCCTTAGTAAGCTTGAGAGCACGCCCGCTGCCGCCCTCCGTGCGAGCTAGGGCGTCCTGCACTGCTCTCACAATCTCACGTGCAACATCCTCGCCGACAGCTGATGCTGCAACGGCAGGTGCTAAAGGAGCTGTTGCGCCTTTACCAACACTCTTACTATTCATCCGACCTCTACTCCCTCGTGTAGACATCCTATAAAACCAAAAAACAAGACTACACTTAGTGCACAACACAATAGCCTTCTCCGAGGCATACAGTTACTATAATTAAGTCACAAGACACACTTAGTCTCAAAACGTACACCCCAATTGCATATAAACGTCTAAACATGTAAACACATAATCGAATCAAGTCCACAAAGATAGTCACTCATCCTGGAACTCTCAAGGAATTCCTATCAGAAACCACGTTGATCAAGCGTGTTTCCACGAGGACCTCAAAGCAAGTTCACCGGCCATGAATACTATCCAGGAAACTTAATCCCATTCTCACATAAATGCAACACACACGTCCTAACATTCATTTTAACTATACGCAACGTCCTCACCATACGTAGTAAACCCACTGTGGTAAAAACCACTTCCCAAGAGCCCAAACTATTCAAACCCGGCTCGCTCTGATACCAAGTTGTCACGCCCCACTTTTATTTACAGGGAATCATTACCAAATTCGTTACCTTAATTCAAGTTCAGAGATAACATGCAGAAACAAATTCTTTAGTCCAATGAGTAGAGATAAACAACAATTCTCTCATTCGAATGCAAATTGAATACAACATGAGCATACTTAATAGAATGCCCATAGGCTTACAACGTTAAAGAATCAAAAGAAGGATGTAACCCTTTTTACAACAAAGGCATCCCGCCAACACAACAAAGGCCCCGTGGCCAACAAATAAGAAGATCCAAATCTTGTAGCACAACCTGCTTAACACCTGAAAAAGATTCAACAACGTGGGATGAACATATAGTCCAGTAGGGATCTCATCATGATCCTCAACAATAACAACTTACAGATAGCTATCATCATGAATGCTCAAGGTCATACTAGAATAGTAACGTGACAGTTTATACAAGATATACATATGTATGAACTTTTCTTAAAAACAACCATTTGATTCAACGCTTTAAGCGATCCATCTTTCCTTACCTTTTCTTTACTCCTAGTTCCCAAGCTTTAATAACGATAACAACTCCTTAGGAAAACAATTTCACTAAGCCCATTACTTTTCTCCCATTTTCCCATACTAACAGCCGATGTGCCTTTTTCAAAACATATTTCAAAATACTCGATTTCCTTCACACTTTCCAAAATCTCAAAATGGCATTTTGGTTTGTTCCCAATACATTCATTTCTATACATGCATGCCTTTAATAAAGGGAAGATAACAAATCATCAACATGTATACAATCAACCAATGAGCCAACTCGGCCCTCCAAAACTGTAACCATCCCAATCCATAACATACTCAGATACACTAAGACAATAACAAAAAAACACTGCTCTACCGGCTATATGCGCAGTAAGCTAAGGATACGTCTCCCGACAAATGACTAGCTACATTCTGCAGACACAAGCTGGAAGGTAATGGTACCTCATCCACATTCTCCAGAAACAGGCTGGAAGGTAATGGTACCTCGTCCACATTCTCCAAACACAGGCTGGAAGGTAATGGTACCTCGTCCACATTCGCCAGGCACTAGCTGGAGGGTAATGGTACCCCTCATTATAAGCGTGGTATGTAACATCAACCAACTCTACATGATAAGGTATAACCAACAGGCGTAATGCACACACATAGACTATCAAGATACATAAGCAATGTGTTAAAATATATGAACACATAGGCGTGTGTCGAGCACATCATCTATCTCCTCCCTAACAGTTGTACATGCATGATGCATCATAGCACTTCATTACAGACAAGGTCCAATCAACACAAGTGTAATGCATATTCGACAATTCAGCACAACCATGTTGTCCTCCACCGATGACCAAGGACAAAACCTCTAGATGCATGATTTTAATGCACCTATTGTAAAGACTCAACTCTCATGAAGTCTTAAACCCAACAATGCCACAAGTACGATAATTGCAAATTTACTTTCCCAAATATGTGTACACAACACTCATGATACCATACTCAACTCTTATGATTTTCCAAACAAAATACTCTTTTCATTTCACAAAAACCGATTCCAGTCATTATAAAGCCATAGCCCAACCCGATTCATTACATTCATTTCAAAACAACCCCAAGGCCATAGTTAGTCCCTTAGGCATCAACACCTTCACCCAACTCATATATAAATAATAGAGATTTGCAAACATTGGTCAACTACCCTCCATTTTAATTTACCAAATCAAAATATAATTTAGGGCTTTTCCTTCTTTCACTAGAACATGCTATTTTACTCCCTAATTGGTGTAAAGAACAACTAATTACAATAAAACCATTTTCAAACAACCAACCCTAGGTTCCTCACATGATTTTCAACAAATCCAACATGAATTTGATTTTCATGCAATACAAAACTACCACATGTCTATCTATAGACGAAGTATTGGAAAAGAACAAGGAAATCCCTACCTTAAATGTAGAACCCAAGGAGAAGAAGAGCAAAACTCGGAAGTGCTCCAAACACCAAATTTCTCGGATCAAAATGTAGCCCTCAATGATCAACACACTTTTTGTAAAGGCCAAAGGGTAGGAGAACACTCTAACTAGATCAATCCCTAGAGAGAAGGTGGGTTTCTAGTGAGAGAGGCTCTCCAATGAAGTTTTAGAAAAGTAAGAGAGAGAGAGTGAGGATGTAAAAAGTGATTTAAAATAGCCTAGCTGCCAACTGATATACGACTCTCCCGCTCGAGCGGATAAAAGGACGCTCGAGCGTCAAGTACAAAAACTGGACCCACTCGAGTGCAAGAAGACCCGCTCGAGCGCCAAGACACAGGAACAAAACACACCCACTCGAGCGCAAAAACCAGTCCGCTCAAGCATAGATTCTCCTCTCTCAGTATCTTCATCGACAATGCTCTCCCCGCTCGAGCGCCAACAGACCCGCTTGAGCACGACCCGCTCGAGCGTTAGGAAACCCGCTTGAGCGTGAAAAACACACCTGTAGAAGTTTTGTAGAGGCAGGAAACACTGGAACTGTGAAAACCCCGCTCGAGTGCAAGAAGACCCGCTCGAGCGGACAACCAAAAAATCAAACTCCGCTCGAGCACAAAAGGACCCGCTCGAGCGTGCCACCAAAAATCTGGGCAACAAGGAATGGGACTAAGGCTCAACCAACCTGTTCGAAACATGCCTAACACATTCTAAAACTCAAATGTATGAAATCAAGGATGACAACAAGACATAAACAACCAACAACTCCACGGAACCGAGTCCGGAATATGATTAAAATTGGGAGGGGAAACCGGGATCGCTATAGTCTCCATAGAACCTCTACCATCGACTTTGCTGTAACCAAAATCAGTTGTAGTTGAAGTTATTGTAGAAGAGTTAAGTGACAAGCATTCCAAATTAGGCTACGATTCAGGCAAATTCAAGGGAGGCTCATTATGATTCATGAAAACCTGAACCACCTTTCTCATCTGAGGCTGGAGCATAAAATCTAGATGCAAACAAGTAAGCCCTACAACCAAACTCCTCTTCACTTCTTCCTCATCAAATTTCCCTTCAAGCAATCTATCCACGCAATCAAGCAATGCATCGACACCCTTTTCGTATAACGTCCATACGCTATCCACTAAACTATTCTCATCTATGATGCCTTTTGATCTCTTCCCATAACCCACTTCCAAAACCACCATTCCAAAGCTGTAAACATCAGACTCTGGGGTAGCCCTACCCGTGAAGCTAACCTCTGGCGCCAATTACCCTAGTGTCCCTACTATCCTGGTTGTGACCGAGGCTTCGTTTTGAAGTAGCCTGGCAAGGCCAAAGTCGACTATATGTTCATTGTATTGTGAATCCAACATGACATTGTTTGGCTTCACATCTCTATGTACAACAGGGTTGCCATACTCTTCAAGTAGATAAACTAATGCTGATGCTAATCCCAGCAATACCTTGTACCAGGTTGCCCAATCAAGGAAGGTGTTGTCCTTGTCGATGAAGCAGTCAAGGTTGCCATTAGGCATATATTCGTAAACTAGTAGGAGTTAGTCATGGTCATGGCACCAACCTTGGAGTTATTGTAAGTTTTTGTGCCTTAGGCGGTTAATAGTGCAGATTTCTGCTAAGTATTCCTTCTCACCTAGATTAGATAGAAAAATGGTTTTGATACGTGAACACATGATAACAATTTTCAAAAGAGCAATGCTATACATAATTTTATTTCAAATTAATATCAATAAAATAAAACATTAATTATAAATCAAATCTTAACAACAACAATCCAAGTCCTAAAACCAAAAAGAAAAAAGAAAAAAAGAGAGAGCTTAGGCTATAGAATATATAAACTTTCATCAGGTCAAAAAAAATGGGTATATTTTCAGGACAAGTCCTGGCAATACTTGGTAGTGGTAGCACTGCATTACCTAGTGGAGTATGAGTCCAATTAAAATGAATGCAGTGCTGTCAGTATTAATAAACGGGAAATGAAAAGCAAGCAAAACACTGCCAAAACCTCCAGTTCCCAACAAGTTGTCTTTGCTGAAGTTGCGAGTTGCCTTTGAAAGTTTCTTGTAAGGGAAGAGTTGTGGTCCATTTGCTGCTGCTATCATCACTTCAATATCTACTTTCCTTGCAAGCCCCTCTCTTTGAATTCTAAGAGCTCTAAGCATAAATGGTAAAGCCAATATTGCAAGAAACAACAGCCTAGAAATGACTGGAACAGCTACTTTCACTCCCAGGTTGTTTTCTGTCCCCAGAGATTTGTTTGGCAATTAAATGGATGTGAAGTTCCAAGCTAGAACTTGATGGGTTTCAGATAGAGTACCTATGTAAAGACCGAAGCAGGCTAGGTCAATTTTTATTTTCAAAATACGACATCAAATTTAATTGGAAATTTGGTGCTAAATCGGAATTAGACTAATCTCCCTCGTGTAATAAAGAAATTACAGTTTGCATTACAGTTTTGGCTTAACTCTTTGGCCAATACTGTTAGTCAATTGTTGGTTAAACGAATAAGAAATAATCATGTTGTCTGGTAGACTAAAAAATTTACTTTATTATGTTCAAATAATGATTTGTATTAAGCACTCATATTTTTATTTTTATGTATATATTATTGGGAAATAAGAATAATTAGGTAAATTCATTAGATACAAGGGAGAGTAATTGTTTAATTCGACATCAATATATACAGTGGCGGAGCTAGGAATTCAGTGAAGAAGGGGCACAAATTAATAACAATATTGATTTTATTTTTTCCTCATAATAAACAACAATGAGATATTACTAAACGTAAATATTAAGAATTTATTTGGATAGATGTAAATTTTAAATTAAAGGATTTGAGGTTAAATTTTATACAAATATTGTGGAGTAACTATTTTAGGTGGATTGAAAAATTAAAAAAGAAGATAAGTTGAGATAGAAATGATATATTTTAGTAGGGAAATTCTATAAAACACACCGCAAAAAAAAAAAAGTCTATCATATGTCGCAATTATAATCTTTGTGGTCTTTAGTTATGACACATTATAGTGTTGGATATATCTTCTTGTGGTTGTTATTTTAGTTATGATTGAAGAGGTCTTTGATTATACATCAAGTAATGATTCGTAATGACTCATTCTGATATTAGTTATGACTTATTGTAAAAATAGTTTTTGTGTGTGTGTGTGTGTGTTTTATAATTGAAGATGTGTTGTTTAGTTATAATTTATGTAGTAGTCATTTTAGTTATGAATGAAAATAATTTGGTTATGAAAATTTATAATATCAATATCATAAAGTAATAACTAGTATATGGTACACCCCTTTTGGAGGTGTATAATAGGACTTATTTTAGTAGGTTCATTGCAATTAGAAAGAAAATTTATAATAGAGAGACTATTATAATTTGAAGAAGGGATATTATTATAATTTTATAGAAGTTATATATAATATAATCTATATATATAGGGGTATCAATATAATTATCAAAACTTGAGGGGGGCACATGCCCCCTGGGCACACATTGCCTCCACTCCTGAGTATATATAATATAGGGGAAAATATAAATAAATTGTACTTTAAAAAAATAATTATTAATTCATGGAAAAATTTATAAAATTTGCCATTAATTTGAATTTTATTTTCAAAATACTCAATGGCATGTTATTCTCCCTATAACATTTAAAGACAATATATAATATTTAAGGACAATATATAGTAGTAATTTCACCACTTATAGTGATCCTGGTTTTGACCCGACCTTTATTATGTTCCGAACTCGGGTTCCGTGGTTGTATATTGTGTCTATGTCTTGTTTTCCTCTTTTAACTCTTTGAATTTGAGCTTTGGAATATGTTGGACGTGTTTGGAACAGGTTGGTTGTTACTTGGTTTAGATTGTTGTTGTCCAGATTTTGGCCTCTTCACTCAAGCGGGGCTTCTTGCACTCAAGCGAGCCTTGTGTAATTTTCTTCTTCACTCAAGCGAGAATTGAGAGTCCTCAGATCTCTCTCCTAGATGCAACTTCTCTAGGAAGGTGAAGTTCTTCACTCCAGCGAGGCTTCTTGCGCTCGAGCGAGTCTTGTGAAATTGCTTCTTTGCTCGAGCAAGGTTTTTTTGCGCTCGAGCGAGCATGTGCGTCTATGGTAGACCTAAAGCTTTGCATTCTGTGCTTGAGCGAAGCTTCTTACGCTCGAGCAAGGTCACTTATTATGTCTGGTCACTCGAATGACAACTCTTTCGCTTGAGCAAAGAACACGTATATCAGTTCGCAGCAGGGTCTTTTTACATCACTTTTTGATTTCATTTCTTCCCAAAACCCTAATCCGGCACACTCTCTCTCTAAAGCTCTCTCTCTGTCTCTCTCTCTCTCTACAAATACTTCAAGATCCAAGCACCTCTCAAGCCTAGTCCCTTTGTTAAAGAGTTAGAGTATCTCGTGGGCTTCCTCTTGATCCGAACAAAACCGAGTTTGGAGCAATTTTTGAAGTTCTTCTTCATCTCCTTTAGGCTTCTACTCTTGAGGTAAGGATATTCTACTCTTTGGTATGGCTTTTAACCTAGGCATTTGTCATTTTGTATAAATGATAGAGTTTGGGAAGATTTGGGTGAAGCTAGGGTTTGGATTTGAATTTTGAAAGAGGGGTTTTGTATATTTAGCTTTCATATATGTAGATAAGGGCTTGCTTATGATGTTATATGAAAATAAATGGTGGGGTTGGGTTTTGAGTATGATATTGGGAAAAAGGGGAAAATTTTGCCCTAATTTGTGTTAAAGAACTATTTTGAATAAACAATGAAATTGATGTGGGAAATATGAAATTGGAAGGGTGTATAATTGAATGGCGTAGTTGGATTTGTTGAATCACTAATTTCCCCATATATATGTATATATATATTTTTAGGTACATTGGAAAATAATTTCCCCATATGTTTTTATTACTCTTTTTACAATTAGAGTTCTAATTCTCACTCTCTCACATCCTCTCACTATTGCAACGGCGATTTGCGATGGCAATAATCTAACGGCAACAAGATTGTGACTATCGATCAAAAACGCGCAATTAATCATAACCAAAACATGGAAATTGTGATAACCCAACCCGTATTATGCTTAATTATACACGTATTTACGTGTTTAATATGAATTTGTAAGTTAAGTATGTAATTATGTGATTTTGGATTTTATATCTATTGAATGTAGGAAAATTTGTTACAATTAGAAGTTTGAACAGAAAATTATAAGCCTTAGAGGCGTGATAAACCAAAACCGACTTCATATGTGTGAGTAGCATGATTTTTAGAGCCTATAGTGAAATTTCGTAAAATTACGATTTGTAATGTTTTAATTAGCCTATATTATATATCCCTCTCTAGTTCTTGAGTTCATCATTTATTTTTTTAGGGGAGAGCTTTGCTAGAGAGAGAAGAAGAGGAGAAGCTAGAGTTTTGGTGGAGATTCAAGGGGCAGACCCTAGATTTGAGCCAATGTATGAAAATTTACTTGGAATTCTTGTATACAACTCATTTATTGCTTGAAAACATATAGAGATTTGAAGATTTAAAACCCTTTGGGGTTAGGGTTTTGGGTTATGTGTTTATTTGAGCTAAACTAAGAAATGGGAACTTGAATGTTTTGATTTTACATGGTTGGAGTTCAATCTTGTGAATAATGTAAGAAAGAAACCCTAGATAATTCATGAAAACAAGATTTGTTGAAAGATTGCTCATGGATCATGTATTTTGAATTTCTTTATGTAATGTATGAAATTGTGAAAAGATGAGACCATGAAATTATTGTTGATACAAGATTGATATGTTTAATGAGGGATTACACTTGTATCATGCTTAGTTATCATGTTTTTGAGTTGTTCTTACATGAATTTGGGCTTGGAAATGAGTTTAGGAAGTTTGCATCTTTGAACCATTTTCGGACTGTCTGATTTTGCCCAGACCGCACGAGTGGCCACGGGCACTGCACGAGCGGAACATGAAGAAAAAAAGGGGGTTTAATTCTGCTCCTTGGGCGCTCGAGCGGTCGGTTTTTCCACTCGGGCGGATTTGGGCCGCACGAGCGGTGAAGACTTCCGCACGTGCGAAACCCCTGTTTCAGCCCAACTTCAAAAAGGCATATCTCCTTCATCCTAACTCCGTTTTAGATGATTCTTGAGCCTAAATTCAAGCCTCGAAAGTCTAGTTTCCAATGCTGGTGGTCTCACATCCAAATTCTAAATACACAAATAGATATGTTCAAATTAGTGAAGGTTGTTCACTTTCTTTCTAGCCATTTCATGCTATTTCCTCTCCTAACTCAGTTTCCTTTCGTTTCTTGCTATTTTCCTCGACACAAATTATGACCCATTGAGGTCTATTGAGTTTAGAACCCACAAAAATAATTGGTTAAAGAGAAAAGTAAGGAATTGATTTATTTGGTTAAAAAAAGATTAAGTGAAGTAGATTTGATCAAGACAGTGATTCTATGTTCCGATATGTTGTGTCGTGCGCATTGTGTTTGCAGGTCATGATTCGAGGACCGGTCA